CAATGTCGAGCCTTAAACTGTAAGCCCGTATTGGTGTTGTTTCTTTTATTTGGCTGTCGAACATTATTTATGGTTTGAAATATGATTTTATGTAAAATAATTGATATGAAAAAGCCGTCTTATAAGTTATGACCCCATTTCACCACACGCAAGTGGCAGAAATGACAATGATCAGCTGACGCATTTTTCTTGGCCGAAGTCAGAGCGCGCGGCCCGACGCACCACGCGTATTTGGAAATTCCGACCTCGACGAGCATCAGAAGCCACCTAACAGGCGTGTTCGAAACCGCAGGAGATGATGATGAACGGGTTTATCGAAACTTGATTGGATGAGCATATCGGTAATAGCGATTTCAGTGTGTGCATTTATTGTTCATAGTGGTGTGAAATGTGGTTGGGGTACGACCGACAACCCGTCGGGGCGAATTTCGCACTGGGGTACTCAAAATTTGAAGAATTTAAGACGTTTCCATGAGTTTTGAAGGTATGGATAAGTTCTAAAAATCCGGTTCTCCTTATCTGGGCCATTAACTCCATACGGTCCAAGAAAGCTGGCACACTACCTTTAAACTAATCTCGTGCAGGTCTGAGTCAAAAGGTATTACAGATAAACGTCTTTCGCGAAAACGTATATTTTGAGGCTAAAACGTTTACCTTAGGTCAAATCTGAGATAATTAATAAGAAAGATCTATCGAATGCGCTTTGCTGCGGGGCTGTAGCTCAATCTCTTTCTGAATCCTGACTTATGCGCCGCGTTGTCGAAAAAATGCCAAGATCGGTGAAATTTGATTTTTGGTTTTCTCTGGTGACCTGACCTTCGACCAGTTCGACCTAACCTTAACAATGACCTAAGTAGTTTTATAATAGTTTTTGACGCTCTTTCGAACGCCGCCTACTGCGTGTCTCGACGTGGCCCACAAGCTGAGTTAGAAGTGGGTGTTCAAACACCCCCAGCAGGTTCAATTAAAAAACGCATACGCTGGGGGCGGTACCGCACTGCTAGGTGGGGGTGGCATCGCAATAATGGGCGGCACTGCGCCTGAGGGGTACCACTTGCATTGAGGAGTGGCATTGTACGGTGAAGGGGCGGCGTCGCAAATTGAGGGGCGGTATCGCAACGAGGGGTGGCACCAACGAGGCTGCCTTATAAAAAACGCTTGGCACATCCTAGCCCAGCTCGGCGCCGCCTGCCTGCTGCATTTTGAAAAAAGGCCCTTGGTGTCGATGAGAAAGCCCCATTGTCAAACAATTACCTAGCGTCAGTGGTTTCAGGAGAGAGGGGGGAGGCGCTATCGATCTTGAATGGGACGGGGCGCCATTGATCTCGGATGGTCCGACTGGGATTTTCAAAGAGGCGCTAGTGGTTTCATAGGGTCGCCATTGATCTATGATGGGCTGACTGAAGTCCCGGTTCAGGTGGGCGCCAGTGGCTCTTGAGGGGCGCCAGCGATCTCTGATTGATGGGGCGACTGTGATCTTTAGACTGTGTTGAATGCAACATTGGGCATAGATGGGGTCACTGTTGCCTTCAGCAGGGCGCCGCACGCTCTGGAGGGGCGCTTTGAGCTTGGGTGGGGCGACTGTAGTGTCAAGGGGCGTTGTCTCGGATGGGGCAAATGTGATTGTCAGAGGGGCGCCGGGTACTCTAAGAAGGGTGCCATTGGTTTCAGAGGGTTGCCATCGATCGATGAGGCAGCTGTAATCTCCGTTTAGATGGACGCCAGTGACTTTTGAGGGGCGCCAGCGACCTCGGATGAGGACGACTGTGATCTTCAGAAGCGCGCCGGACGCTCTGGAGAGGCGTCATTGGGCTTGAATGGCGACTTTAGTCTCAATCGGAACAACTTCAGCCTCAAGGGGGGAGGGGGCGCTAGTGGCTCTTGAGGGCGCTATTGATCTCGGATAGGGCGACTGTGATCTTGAGAAGAATGCGGGTGCCTTAGAGGGGCGCCAGTGGTTTCAGGGGGCGCCATCGATCTTGAATGGGGCCGATTGGGGCAGCTGTGAACTTCAGAGGGGCGCCGGGTGCTCTAAAGGGGCGCCATCAACCTTTAAAGGGGCGACTGTTCCGTTCAGCTGGGTGCCAGCGGCTCTTCAGGGGCGCCATCGACCCTGGGGGTTCGGAGTATTCTGGTTTCCGGAGGGGCGCCCTTCATTATTGGGGGCTCAGGTCCTAGTTGGGGGCGTCCTGGAGAACATTCGTGTGTCCAGGCACACCCAAAGAGATATTGAGTTCGATCCCTGCCTTTACATCACTCTTTAATTCATGTTCCCTCTGTAAAACGGCATCAGCCTAGTCGGCGCTAATTGGGGCGCCATCTGGGCGGCTGGGCGGAAAGGGGGGGGGCGTGGCCCCATGCCCCCCCCCCTAAATACGCCACTGAACAAAGACCACCATTAGACTCCCCGTGACGAGCTTCATCGAATCGATACCCATTTTATGCAAAACTATCAACATTAAAATTTGACCTTTTTTGGCCTGACCTTGACCTGACCTTGACCTGAACTTCACCAGAAAGTGACCTAAGCCGTACCTGATAGTCTTATAACCAACACCATTGAGTTGGAAATGAAAAATTGGCCATAAAACATGGATCACACAACCTTAGTAAAGTTGGGCTCATGTGACCTGACCTGTGACCCTTGGTGACCTGACCTGTGACCTGATCTGGTATTGTCAGTGACCTCTAATAGCAACATATCTACTAGGCAACTGACGCCCTACCGCTGATTCTCGAGAAAATGCGTTTTCCTCGGTGTTATAGCGCATTCCCTAGAAGACCCGTGAACGGTGAAACATTTCATCTTTGACCTGACCTGTGACGTCATCGGTGACCCCGAGGTCAATGAAATTTGGTTTCCTTCGACATTTTTGACAGGCCCTTCGAACGCCGTTTGAATTTTGCGGATCCGACCAGTAGTTTCGGAGATACGAGGGGGGGTGCAAAAAATAGCCCCCCCCCCACTAGGTTGCGTTATAAACAGACCCCACCAGGGCGCGGGTTAAAAGAAGAGTGCAAGAGCTATCGATTGCTTCCTCGTGCGTTTTTCTAGCTACCATAGTTCCTGAGATAACGGCATGTTTTCTGAAAAATATAATGTCAATTGGCAAATTTTGACCTTTGATGACCTCTGGTGACCCCAATATTGCCTCTAAGATGAAAATGACCGAAAGGCTTTCAAACGTACGCATCTAGAGCTATCGACTGCTTTTTACCGCGTCTTTCTAGCCCTTTTAGTTTTTGTGTTAGAGGTGGGTGGTAACATATGCCCCCCCCCCCCCACACACGCACACTAGGCCGAAGTTGGCGGAGACCGCCACTGGGGCGCGGTTCATTATATAAAGCTATTTGTTATCAAAGGGACTAGGTGCAGATTTGGTGAGAATTAGGTGCATTCTTTGGATAGACCGTCGTGAAAACGGCTGTTTCCACAGTCCGAGTACCGCGAGCAGTGCGCGATATGAATACAGTGCACTATTTTCAGGTGTTTCCCTGTCTGGTGAGGAGTGTTTCCCTGTCCGCGAGCAGTGCGCGATATGAATACAGTGCACTATTTTCAGGTGTTTCCCTGTCTGGTGAGGAGTGTTTCCCTGTCCGCGAGCAGTGCGCGATATGAATACAGTGCACTATTTTCAGGTGTTTCCCTGTCTGGTGAGGAGTGTTTCCCTGTCCGCGAGCAGTGCGCGATATGAATACAGTGCACTATTTTCAGGTGTTTCCCTGTCGGGTGAGGAGTGTTTCCCTGTCCGCGAGCAGTGCGCGATATGAATACAGTGCTGTTTTCAGGTGTTTCCCTGTCGGGTGAGGAGTGTTTCCCTGTCCGCGAGCAGTGCGCGATATGAATACAGTGCACTATTTTCAGGTGTTTCCCTGTCTGGTGAGGAGTGTTTCCCTGTCCGCGAGCAGTGCGCGATATGAATACAGTGCACTATTTTCAGGTGTTTCCCTGTCTGGTGAGGAGTGTTTCCCTGTCCGCGAGCAGTGCGCGATATGAATACAGTGCACTATTTTCAGGTGTTTCCCTGTCTGGTGAGGAGTGTTTCCCTGTCCGCGAGCAGTGCGCGATATGAATACAGTGCACTATTTTCAGGTGTTTCCCTGTCTGGTGAGGAGTGTTTCCCTGTCCGCGAGCAGTGCGCGATATGAATACAGTGCACTATTTTCAGGTGTTTCCCTGTCGGGTGAGGAGTGTTTCCCTGTCCGCGAGCAGTGCGCGATATGAATACAGTGCTGTTTTCAGGTGTTTCCCTGTCGGGTGAGGAGTGTTTCCCTGTCCGCGAGCAGTGCGCGATATGAATACAGTGCACTATTTTCAGGTGTTTCCCTGTCTGGTGAGGAGTGTTTCCCTGTCCGCGAGCAGTGCGCGATATGAATACAGTGCACTATTTTCAGGTGTTTCCCTGTCTGGTGAGGAGTGTTTCCCTGTCCGCGAGCAGTGCGCGATATGAATACAGTGCACTATTTTCAGGTGTTTCCCTGTCGGGTGAGGAGTGTTTCCCTGTCCGCGAGCAGTGCGCGATATGAATACAGTGCACTATTTTCAGGTGTTTCCCTGTCTGGTGAGGAGTGTTTCCCTGTCCGCGAGCAGTGCGCGATATGAATACAGTGCTGTTTTCAGGTGTTTCCCTGTCTGGTGAGGAGTGTTTCCCTGTCCGCGAGCAGTGCACGATATGAATACAGTGCATATTTTCAGGTGTTTCCCTGTCGGGTGAGGAGTGTTTCCCTGTCCGCGAGCAGTGCACGATATGAATACAGTGCACTATTTTCAGGTGTTTCCCTGTCGGGTGAGGAGTGTTTCCCTGTCCGCGAGCAGTGCGCGATATGAATACAGTGCACTATTTTCAGGTGTTTCCCTGTCTGGTGAGGAGTGTTTCCCTGTCCGCGAGCAGTGCGCGATATGAATACAGTGCACTATTTTCAGGTGTTTCCCTGTCTGGTGAGGAGTGTTTCCCTGTCCGCGAGCAGTGCGCGATATGAATACAGTGCACTATTTTCAGGTGTTTCCCTGTCGGGTGAGGAGACGACCGATCTGCTCGACATATCCGAGTACTTTACCGTGTCCCTGAACAGCAGCGGCGGCATCAACCTCACCCCGAAACCGAGCCTGGTCGGCGTCAAGGACTACCCGGTAAGGTGGTAAGGACTAAGGTCTTAGGACTACCCGGTGTGATGGGACCGACTACCCGGTAGGGTGGGAATGGCTACCCGGTATATGGTAATAAGGACTACCCGATAAGGAGGGAGCGACTACCCGGCGAGGTGGCCGATGGCGCGGGTGGTTTTCATCACCGCGATTTAACCGAGGCAGTGCTCATCACAGTTTTGGGTCACATTTTTTATGCGAGTGACGAAGGTATCTATCTAATGTGTGCTCAATTTAGCCAAGGGCTTCGACGGTTATAGATCATCCCGACACACGCTCTAACGATATTGGCTCAGAAGGCATTTCACAATATGAAAACGCATCGCATGTGTGAACTTGTGACAAGCGCATCACAACGTGTTGAGACGTGTCTGGTTTTGTTTTTGCGACAGACAAACATGAGGGAGATTGGCCCAGGAACGGTGACGGTCAACTGCACCGGAACAGTGAGTATGTAGTCACCAGCAGTTGCTACCCATCACCCCCGGACGGCGGGGGAGCAGGCTACCACCGCCCCTGCGAGACTAGCGCCGCCATGCGCCAAGAAGTGGAAACACCACGTGACTGAGGCCACGTGAGGGAAGGGTCACGTGATGGAGGGGCGGAGGCGGAGCATAGTAGCTTTTGCGCCCGACACTAACTGAAATGCGGCGCTGTGATTGGGCGCCTTAGCATGAATGAAGCCCCGGCGCCAGAATCAGCCGTTCGCCTTACATGGAAAGTGAGCCTTTGCGTTCACTGTTCTGTATTGGTTTGAGAGCCACGGCACCATACGAATTGTGAACCCTTTTGAACGGGTCACCGCCCGATGCACTGAGGCGACGGCTGTGCCGGGCAAATTCTAGCCTGGTGGGAGAGGTGGGCCAGGGAAAGTGCGATCGAGCAGCCACTGGGACGTGGGTTGGTATTATCCAACCGCGACAAACGATGTCAGCAGCCTCTTCTCGTGTCATAGACAGTGTCTATGACATGAAAAGCTAGACAAACAACGTGGGCAGTGCCCAATCAAAAGCTACTAAACGATCCAGTTAAGAAGTTGGCGAGGTAGCCAGACCAAATAACAAGTTTTTTTATTCGATTTTGGTTGACAAATGACATACAAGCCCGCTGTGATGGACCAAAAAAGAAGCTGAACAGTTCATACATTTTCTAAAAAGCTCAACGGTTAAAAAATTCAAAAGTTAAATGTTAAAATTCAGCCTGCATGTTTAAACTCTGGTCCGGCACTGGCAGGAAGCTTATATTGCCACTTGCAATTCCACTACGTTGTAGGTAATATAATCAAGAGTTCTGTGAGAGCAGCAACTGAAAGCCCCGTTGAGGGGGGGAGGGGTGCGCAAAACGGCCCCATCTCTCCCTTTCAGTCGATATCTCCTAAAGTATAGCAAATGTCGCCACCAAACTTTCAAGACCCCTCCGAGCATCATTTTTACACCTTTTGACCACATTTTTCCGAGCTCTTAGTGTCCCAAATTTTTTAGATGTGGGTGGGAAACGACATCCAAATGAAAATCGTTTTCCACTCTCGCCTCCAGTTTTCAAGCCCAATTTTGCACTGCCAATTCCACCGAGAAGGAGTAATGGCGTGAATGGTTGTTTTGCATCTGTCACAATTGTAGATAGATTAATGTTTTTGATCATTTTTCCACTCTTTTTGGGCCTTACCTGACCGACAACTTTTCACTCTCATCCTTTTTTTGGTCAGCAATTTTCCCCTCTGACACCCAAGCAAAAATGCAATTTTAGGACACTGAGCTCTTATGAAAGGTTAGTCACAAATGACGTCAGAGGGATGTCATGTTCTGTCATTTTCGACCCAATAAAAGGTTTAGCGGGAAGAGCTGTCATGCTCACAGTTTTGAACATAACGAAAAATATTCAAGATTAAAAAGATGTAAAATAAACGGCGCTACCAAACTGCTACCTTTTATTTCCAAACAAAAATTGATTTTCTTCATAAAAACTATAAAAGTATAACACCCCGAAAATACCAACAACATTCAAAATTAAAACTGAAATATATGTTATAGAACTATCTGCACTAGATATGCCAAATTTAACCCTCGCCCGCACACGGCACATGCCATTTTCCCATCCTAGAACGCACATGGGGGGGGGGGGGGGTTGCCACCCCCGCGCCATTTCGTTCCTGTTGGAGATAGAGCTTCGCGGTAAAGACCAAAAAGATTCTTTGGGAAGAGACGAATCCAATGACACCCAGTTTTACCTTCTCAGGTCAGTCATTGACCTTCCAAGTTCCAGGTCAGGTCAAACTAAAAAATGTTGCTGTTTTGGGTCACCGTTGGATATCAAGTGCGCTGCTTTGCATATACCGATGACGATGCCGTTTTCTGGTGCCAAGCCAGCTAGAAGCTCTTTGTCACACTACCCGACCAGATTTTTCCTGATGAGGTCATTTCAGGTCAAGTTAGGTCAAGGTCAATGATATGTGTTTGTATGTCTGTGTGTCTGTGTGTATACTGACGTGTGCACCGAGTGTTTATGTGTCCATATAGCTTTTACCAAAAATGCAGTCAAAAAACTTCACGAAAAGTAAAATACGTTTGCCTAAAACGCAATTATTTTAGAAGACCTAGGTTTACCTTGACCCTGACCTTGACATCTGTACATCATCAAACAACATGTTCCATGATAGGCGGGAGGTAAGACTGGCAAAAAAGGCCGAAATCAAGGTGTCAAAAGCTCACAAGGCCCATAGCCAACGTAAGATGTTGAGAATTGGTCATATGGGTCATGACATGGCCTGAAAAATAAGGTCGTATCTCCGAAACCAAAAATCACAGAAACTTGAAAATTGAAATTTTCAGTGGACATCAAGAAAGGATAGGGGAGCAGCTATACGAAAAAACAGCCCTCTAGCTCTAAAAATGTTGAGTGCAGAGCAGAAAGACTACCTGGGGGGGGGGGCAACCACCCCCCCCATGTGCGGGTGAGGGTTAAACTCGATAGCTCCATTTTTAGCAAAGTTATGGCAAGACAAACTACTCAAAATTTATTACGTAAAATTTTCCAATTCAATTTTTAGCCGTCACAGAACACACAGAGCAAGCCAAAGACCACCATTGGATTTCCTGTGATGAGCTGCATCGAAAAGATACCCCGTTTATACAAAATATCAACTTTGAAATTTGACCTTCTTTGACCTAAGAATGTAAACTTAACCCTCGCCCGTAAACGGCGATCTGCCACCTTCGCCCATGCAGGGGGGGGGGGTTGGTGCGACCCCCCCTTGGCGTTTGAAAACGGAGCGTCGTAGAGCTTAGCGGAAAAGACCAACGGATTGCTCTCGCCGAGATCTCGCGATTGGTGGTATATTTTTTGGTCCTAGGTCAACATTTGACCTACTTTTGACCGGTCAAAGGTCAAATTTTCGGAAAAATAGACTTTTTTCAACTTTCCGCGGCGATTGCGGAAAAACGGTGGAAGATATCGACTTGAAACCTTCACTATCGTGTTCCTTGATCAATTCTCTATCGTTTGGTATGTATTTCGTTTCCCTAGCTCTAAAAATGGCGCGTTGGGAGCGCCGGAAGTCGGCAAGGTCACAGTCGGCGGCAGAAATTCGAAAAATCAAAATTTAAATTTTTGAAATCTGATTGTATTTTTGGATTTGGAAGGTCCATTTGCTCCCTATAGAAGCTAATATTGCTGCATATTCCCATTGAGGTGACAAGAATTAGCAAAATAGTGGTTCGGGCGCTTTTCAAAAATAGTACCGGACGCTGTTCCTCTTGTGACGTCATAGCTCCGTGACCTGACCTGACCCGGTCAAGTTTCTTATACCATATGATAGCCAACACTTGCCCCAACATGCATGGGAAGTTTCATCACGATCCATCAACCGATGTCCGTACCACCGGCAGGAAACCTCGGGCGTTGGCACTCAGTTTGTGAAAATCCGACCGGAGGCTGTTCCCTTTGTGACGTCATAACTCCGTGACCTGACATGACCCGGTCAATTTTTTTTTTTATCAAAAAATGCGCAATGTTTGCCCCATAAGGTACCCAAAATTTGGCGGCGCTGCGCGCCGCCGTTTTTGCACTATTTCCGAAAAACCTCAGGGGGGGGGGGGGGGTTGCACCAACCCCCCCCCTACATGGGCGAGGGTTAACTGGCCCCAATGGTCGTCTAGCCGACACCATTGAATTTTAAATGTAAAATTGGCCATAAAACATGTATCACACGTCCCTAGCATAGTTGGTTCATATTGTGACACTTAGTGACCTGTCCTCTGTGAACTGACCTGGCATCCATGACCTCTTTAGGCAACATATGTGTTAGACAACCAACGCTCCATCGATGTTTTTCGATAACATGCCTTTTATTTGATGTGTTAACTGACTGCAACGCATTCCTTAGACTAAACCGGTGAAAAAATGTCACCTTTGACCTGACTTGTGACGTCATGGGTTGCATCTAGGTCAACGAAACCTGGTAACAAGGTCGTTCCCTGGTGGGGCTATCGAACGCTCTTTGCATGTTCAAAATCGGTCGGTAGCTTTCCGAGATCTCAGGTGGAAGGCGAAACACGGTTGCACCACCGAATCAGGTGGTAAGGTCCGCCAATAGCCCAGGGGGGCGCGGATTATTTATTCACTCATACAGTGTCATTTATTTTGAAAACATCTTTCTCACGCCATGACATGGTCCTCTCGTAATAGAACGAGATGAGGAGTGTTTTCACGCCCCTTTATGCACGGCTCGAAGTGTCATTGAGCTATCAACTGTCAGCGGTTTTCGGACAATGAAGTTCTTAGTTCTTACTGAATCCAATTTTGTTTCAAACATTTGTCACTGTGCTAGTTTTCTTCTTATACGTTTTTGAAAAAGCGCTGAAGTCTTTGATAGACGAAACCGGTCCACTTATTCTTTTTCTAATTGATTTTTGAATATATTCGTAGACTACTGGCCAGGAATGCGGAGCCGGAGCCGGCATATTTTGCCCGAAGCCGGAGCCGGAGCCGGAGTCGTAAAATAACCCGCGCCCGGCTGGGGGTCCTGGATTTCCACGCCCTGCTGGGGGGGGGTGTTTGAACACCCCCCCCCCCCTTCTAACTCGGCTCCTGGGCCACGTAGCGATCCGCGGAAGGCGGCGTTCGAAAGAGCGTAAAAAATAATGACGAAATCACTTCGTTCAATTTTTTGGTCAGGTCAAAGGTCAGGTCACCAGAGGTCATTGAAGGCAAAATTTCGCCGATTTCCAGGTCGAATGTCGAAAATTTCCAAGAAGCTAACGCATAACTCGGGAACCAATAGAGCTACAGCGCCGCGGAAAAGCGCTTTCGATAGCCCTATTAACGCCCTTTCTGAGTAATACTCTCAGATTTGACCTAACGTCAACGGTTTTGCCTGCAGGGGGCAAAAACTGCAAAAATAGCTGATTTTTTCGGAAACAGTTTTTCTGCAATAACTTTAGACCCAAGC